CAGTGTTTGGTGCCACCTCACTGAAACACAGAGCTGCTACTAGTGTTTGGTGCCACCTCACAGAAACACAGAGCTACTACTATTGTTCTACTTGTGTTTGGTGCCACCTCACAGAAACACAGAGCTGCTACTAGTGTTTGGTGCCACCTCACAGAAAAACAGAGCTACTACTAGTGTTTGGTGCCACCTCAGAAACACAGAGCTACTTCTAGTGTTTGGTGCCACCTCACAGAAACACAGAGTACTACTAGTGTTTGGTGCCACCTCACAGAAACACAGAGTACTACTAGTGTTTGGTGCCACCTCACAGAAACAGAGCTACTTCTAGTGTTTGGTGCCACCTAACAGAAACACAGAGCTACTACCAGTGTTTGGTGCCCCCTCACAGAAACACAGAGCTACTACTAGTGTCTGGTGCCACATCACAGAAACACAGAGCTACTACTATTGTTTGGTGCCACCTCACAGAAACACAGAGCTACAACAAATGTACTAGTGTTTGGTGCCACCTCACAGAAACACATAGCTACTAATTGTGTTTGGTGCCACCTCACAGAAACACAGAGTACTACTAGTGTTTGGTGCCACCTCACAGAAAAACAGAGCTACTACTAGTGTTTGGTGCCACCTAACAGAAACACAGAGCTACTACCAGTGTTTGGTGCCACCTCACTGAAACACAGAGCTGCTACTAGTGTTTGGTGCCACCTCACAGAAAAACAGAGCTACTACTAGTGTTTGGTGCCACCTCAAAGAAACACAGAGCTACTTCTAGTGTTTGGTGCCACCTCACAGAAACACAGAGCTGCTACTAGTGTTTGGTGCCACCTCACAGAAAAACAGAGCTACTACTAGTGTTTGGTGCCACCTAACAGAAACACAGAGCTACTACCAGTGTTTGGTGCCACCTCACTGAAACACAGAGCTACTACTAGTGTTTGGTGCAACCTCACAGAAACACAGAGCTACTACTAGTGTTTCGTGCCACCTCACAGAAACACAGAGCTACTACAAATGTACTAGTGTTTGGTGCCACCTCACAGAAACACAGAGCTACTACTAGTGTTTGGTGCCACCTCCAGAAAAAAGAATTCATCCCAACATGGTACGATTTGAAGTCAAGACATGAGAATTGCGATAACAGCACTAGCCATTCCCAGGACGTAAAAACACAAATTACACACATATATTCTCCGGTCAGGTTCAGGATAAACTAACAAAATTACTGACATGCAAAACCTCCAAATAGAACAAACTCTTAAATAGACAGTGGGATTCTGTACGCAATCTTTGCAAAACCTGGTTGTCAAATTGAATCTACATCCTCTCAAGCATTTTAGCGACAAAGTCCAGGCTTCAGGAAGTGCAGGGAACGTCTGCCATCCCATCGTCTCTCACTGGGTAAGAGAGTAGAATGTTTAATGAAGATGGTCGAGTGAATAATCAATTTACAATGACCAAATTATACATCATTTTGACTAGTCTTTCAGGAATAAACCGCTGTTGTATAATAAAGTTGTGCCGCCATTATGGTAAGAACTGTCCGTAAATGGGCAGTCGGCAATGACTGGGGATTCCTCTGTAATTAGTCTGTTCTTGGTGGTTTATCATCTCCATTGGTGGTCCCACTTGACAGCTATGCTAATATATAACTTTTTGGGGCTTTTTATCAATCAAGATCATTAAAAGTTTTCATAAGAATTTGTTATTGGAACAGTTTTTTGAAGATTATTCACATGTATAAGTGCTGTATCTGCAGTAGAATACTTGCAATTAATTACTAAGTAAAGTGTTAAGGTTATATGCTACATTAAATATTTTATCTGTGGTTTTTGTACAGAGTTATCTCCCCTTTTTGTAAGGATTCTTGTGTACATTTCAAATGTGTCATCAATAGGAGTACAAATCCATATTTTTAATTCAACACTTCACATAGCTGCTAATGTGCAACACTTCTGGAAAGGAGGGGACAAGTCACAGGGTACTGGGATGTATGGTCTCTAAATCTGCAAATATGCTACAGCTACTTACAAATTCTTGTTTAAAACAATTTCATAGTTTCTCATGAATATGTTGAGATTTAATTTCTTAGGTTCTCAAAGTTCAGGATAAACATGTTTCACTTTTTATATACATGTGTATGGCGACAAAAAACGCTTAGTTGGAGCTACGATCCTTATCCTTAAAATCTGTTAAAGAGAGGGGTGGGCTTGACTGATGAACACACTGGTTTATCACCATGTGTATATTGTATATAGCCAGCAATAAATATAAAATTTGACATTTATACAGCAGTCACAAATCTATCAACTTTTATGACATATTTCTGGTTTTATTCCCATTCAGATTGTCTAGAAAATCTGAAAAACAGCCAACGTTAGCTTTACATTAGAAATATATACTAAACAAACTACATACAGGCTCCGCAGGGATGGGAAAGAAAGACCTAGAGAAGCGTAAGTAGGAACAATGGAGACAAAAATATTCGTCGTTCTCACACATTTGCATTTAATCAATAAAAAAAGTCCAGTCCAGTGCAGAACTTCATGGAAATTGCTAGAATTGCTATAAGTTCCTTTAACTATGTATATAACCATTTCTAATTGTTCCATTTTACAAAAACAAACTAAAAAAATAATTGACCGCCTATAATATAACCAATAAACTTACATAACCATAAATATAAACATAACGTCACTGTGATGCAAGTATTCAACATTCCAAAATAACACCAAAAAACATATGTTGCTCCTCCCTTGGCTCTTTGAACTCTGATAATTTTCTTCTTTTAATTTTCTATTTTTGTATTTACAAACATCTTTATTATTTTAACAACTTAAGAAGGGTAAGATTTCCATCCTTTACATGTTTCTGGAAGTATCTTAATAAAAGTTCATTAATCTCTATGTGTTCAATATACAAGTTCACTAATCTTTAATATACGTATATTAGTAAATCACTATACAAGTTCACTAGCATCAATGTATCAGAATATTCCTATACAAGTTCACTAATCTCTACATACATTTTGTATGTAATAGGATATTTCTATTTATGTTCACTAATCTCTACATACATTTTGTATGTAATGAGATATTTCTGTACAAGTTCACTAATCTCTATATACATTTTGTATGTTATAGGATATTTCTATATATGTTCACTAATCTCTACATACATTTTGTATGTAATGAGATATTTCTGTACAAGCTAGTTCACTAATATCTATATACATTTTGTATGTAATAGGATATTTCTATTTATGTTCACTAATCTCTACATACATTTTGTATGTAATGAGATATTTCTGTACAAGTTCACTAATATCTACATACATTTTGTATGTAATAGGATATTTCCATATATGTTCACTAATCACTATATATGTATCAGATAATCTCCACCCCAGTTCACTACCCTTTACGAGTGTATAACAGTTTCCCTAAAACCTTTCCCTTGTATCAATATATCTCAACACAAGTTCAATATCATTTTTACGTGCAGTAGAATACCTCCACAAATTCATTAGCCTCAAAACCTTCAATGACTAAAATCTGTGAGGAAGTTGATGATATTGTTGTACAATATGATTGAAAGGTGATGAGTCCTGGAAATCGAAAAATTATACAAATGTGTGTCGGTGATTGAGAGAATTGTGTGTCGGGATTGTGTGCGTTAGGTCTGAACAGTCGAAGTTAGCTCCTTATTCCGCGGAGACAAGCACTTGGGTAGCTTCTATGTAATCCTCTTAAGCTAGTGCATCAGATGATTGAAACACTGCAATCTAATCATCACACAGGTTCAAGTGAAACCCACAAGTAGTTAGCTCTTTGTACCAGTGACAAAATGGCCATGGGGAAAGTCGGCAAAACAACATACACAAAAATCTCACGTAGCGTCTACAGTGTACTACAAGAGAGAGCAGGAGACAAACGGCTTGACGCCACTTGATAGATCAGAATACAATGTGCACTACCGTGTGTGTTACCGTGGATAGAAGTGCGGTGTAAAGACAATCATTTCTCACCTCATAACTAGCTGTAGATGTACAGAGGGACGTTTAATCCAGATAAACAGAAAAATACATTTTCTGGATGCTTGATATGATTAGAATGGAAATACTTCTATGGTGATCATTTCAGTTTCATTGTCCTGGGAACTTCAAGATTTCTTATTGTTTGAAACAGTGATACTTCGATATAATGCCACTTGTTTACTACTGTATAGTAAAAACTTCCATATAACGCCACTTATTTATAATGATGATCATTGTACAGTAAAAACCTTGATATAATGCCACTCATTTATTACTGTACAGTAAAACCTCAATATAATGCCACTTGTTTATAATAATTAACACAGTACAGTAATAACCTTGAAATTATGCCACTCATTTATTACTGTACAGTAAAACCTCCATATAAAGCCCCCTCTGCCACCTCACTTACTGTCAATGTATTTCAAGGTCCCTTTTTTTCTGTTTTCTTACACATGCCTTCACTAAATTTCCTCTACATATCATCAAACCCATTATAATGGCAAAAAAGGCTTGGCAGTATAACAAGCTTCTACCACTAACTATGACACAAGGTTATGTCACCAACTAGAATGATATCTATCCCATAATTCCCTGAATTACTCGTACAACATCATACCTCAGATCATACATAAAACATCAAGGAGCAATAATCCACCCAAAACACTGTCCCATCACTTCAACCATTCTCCTAATTATAATCCAGCTACTGTTGCTGGGAAAGAGGATAGGTGGTATTAGCGTGATCCAGCTATATAGACAGCTTCCCTAAGACTGACAAACATATGATAATCCATTTGTTTTTTATTCTGTAATAAAGTAGGTTTAAAACGTAACATGTTGCAGTATAATTTCTTTAGACATGTATGAAATAATACTTGATAAAAACAGCCTTACTGTAAAAATAGAGTAACAACTGTTTTCAATTGAGATGTTTTGCAATGAGAAAGAGAAGGTGCCTTACCTTTTAGGTTTTCAGAACGATTATAACAGGAAGCGTGCGACTATTATTCCCGAGCTATACAGATGTCGCTTCACAAGGCAGGAGTCTGGTCCTCCTGTATCTAGTACCATGTGTTATATAAAGTCGTACACATTTGTTCAGTTTCACAACACCCCTATACACACTCTCCAGTGGCCTCTCAACAGATTAGTATGCCAGAGTGCACGAATTCCGCATATGGAGACCAACTATCTACAGCACCACCCAACAAAAAATCAATGGCTACTTGATCTGCTTTTAATCAAGTTTAAAACGGCCCGGCCAATTTGCTATACACATCGCTATGATCTTCTGCCGTTCAGGCAAAATGTTCTCTCACAGTTTTTTTATGACTTTTATTTCTTTCCAAACCAAAAGCTGGTCACAGGGTATTACTGATACGTGTTGTAATGTCTGACAGTGTACGTTGAGGGTGTATATCACTACGACTTCTCGACACTGTAACTATCTGTTGGTGACACTGTACCACACACAGACAACTGTCGGTGACACTTATATTAATTAGTAACACTACCAGCAACTGAAGTTGACAACTAACCCTGTGTATAACAGGGTACAATATTATTATATAAATCCACAAACACTGCAATTCACAGTCGGTTCTTTTAAAGCTCACACCTCTAGGATGCGACCAAAAAACAGTCTGAGCGTCTGCGAGAAATGTCACGTCTATAAAAACACCGGTGTGATAGTGTTCCTGGTAAACATTGGATGATTCCCAACACTTTGTGTTAGAACTCAACGCACTGCTATCAGCCCTGGGGGCGACTAGTGTAGTCCAGGATGTGTCCTATAGTTGCCCTGCACAGCCTCCGCAGCAGTGGTGCTATCTCCGTGAAGGAGGAATCTTCAGCTCCCATCCCTCTACATAATGCATCAGCGTGTCTGTTAAATGTATTGTATTAACCATTTCTCATCTCTCTCCGATATAATGTTAGCCGGAAAATTCCATGCACTAATTTCAGACTTAATTGTTTTCATAACCCAAGCTTCGAGTTCCGGATCGGATAATATAAATATTTCCCATCTATTAAGTTCATTAGCAACATTGTATTATTTTAAATGCGAAAGTTTCACAGACCAGATTTTCTCAGTGCAAGACTTGTAATTTAAAACATTAAAAAGTATATATTTGAAAGCTTCAATCTATAACGGAAATGTGGCGTGAAATGTTCATGACCAAAAAGTTTAGAGTTTATTTCATAGCAATTATGCAACATGTCACTATTGAGGATCGGAATACCAGCAGTTATCAGTCATATATAAAATAGATAGAGGAAGATGGGAATCGCTGTAATATCATAAGGTCTTTGCCAGTGGGAGAGTTAAACTTTAATTATCTTTCCTGGAAATTTGTTTTACATGATGTTGCTGAAATTGAAATATTTGATTCTGATATGGTTTTACAGATGGCTTATGACCTTAAGAATATTGATGACTTTTATCTTTAATCTATTCACCAGTTCATGCCTTAAGAGAAGTTTATTATCTAATTCATAAATGAAACAAGAGGCCCAATGGGCCTGAATAGCTCACCTGGTATTAATCTCACACTTGTAATCTAAAAAGTGGACTAAAATACAGCTACAGGCAGAATACCAGTGTTTGATTCATAAGAACCTATTAAAAGATTAAAACATATGAAGCCTGTGACCTTGAATGTCAAACAATGACATTAGGTTGAACAGAGTTTATAGTCTTCCAACCCAGCATGCTTCTGGGAAAATATCAGTACCCTGGACCTTTTGGTTATACAAAACAAGTCATTTAAGTATTTAAACATATATTGACACCTGTGACCTTGAATATGGGCGAAGGTCATTCATTTGAACAAACTTGGTAGTCCTTCATCCCAACATGTTAATGGCTAAATATCATCACCCTTGGCCTTTTGCTTATTGAGAGGAAGTCTTCTAAAGGTTTTAAACATATTTGACCCCTGTGACTTTGAATATATGTCAAAGTCATTCATTAGAACAAACTTGGTATTCCCTTCATCCCAGCATGTAACTGGCCAAATATCATGATCCTAGGCCTCTTGGTTATTGAGAAGAGGTTGTTCGAAGATTTTAAGACATTTGACCCCTGGGGCCTTGAAAGTTGGTCAAGGTCATTCATTTGAACAAACTTGGTAGTTCTTCATCCCAGCATGCTACAGGCCTAATATCAGTACCCGGAGCCCTTTGGTCATTGAGAAGAAGTCGTTTGACGATTTATCACATTTGACCCATGTGACCTTGAAAGTGGGTCAAGGTCATTCATTTGAACAAACTTGGTAGCTCTTCATCCCAGCATGCTACAGGCCCAATATCATCACCCTAGGGGTTTTGGTTATCAAGAAGAAGCTGTTTAAAGTAAAATATTGATGCCGGAAGCCGGAGGACCGACGGATGAACGGCAGACGGACGGACAGCAGACGGACAACACGCCACAGCATAAGCTCAGCTAATAATGTATAGAGACAATAGGACACCCTTATTAAGACTCTATGCTGCCTGGAGTTAGCTCCCTTCAAACTTTTTTTATTTACATAATCAAATAATTTAGAATGCCCCGAGCATTATCAAGGAATGCATTCATGTGTATTTTTAAATATGTCGTCACTTTTTTTGTACTTTTTAATATGTCATCAATTCTTGTGAACTTTTCAATTTCACATGTCTATTAGCATTTTATGCTGAATTCATAGTGGGGATATCTTTTCAGATGAGTATATGTCATAGTAAGGTCGCACATATCCTTAAGTTTTCATAGTACATTGAAGTAGCCTACATCCTCCTGTCTCCATGTCATAGTAAGTAGCATACATCCTTAAATTTACATGTCACAGTAACGAAACATACACCCTTAAGTCTTCATGTCAAAGTAAGGTAACATACACCCTTAAGACTCCAGGTCACAGTAAGGTAACATGCATCCGCTAGTCTCCATGTCACAGTAAGGTAACATACACCCTTAAGTCTCCATGTCAAAGTAAGGTAACATACACCCTTTAGTCTCGATGTCACAGTAAGGTAGCTCGCATCCTTAAGGTAATAGGATTGTATCGCCATTTCTCAGTAGAATTTCTTAAAATTTTGTAGTTATATTGCTTTGAAGTAAAGAAAGTTTTCTGCTACAAAAAAAAATATAGGTTATCAGAATGTTAAGGATCTAAATGGAAATTTATGTAAAAAGGAATGAATTTTGAAAAAAAAATGAAACACAATGTTTTGCAAAACAATGTCAACAAGAGGCCCAGAGGGCCTGTATCTCTCACCTGAATATAATTAAAGTTATTGGTATGAAGTAAAGATATAGCACTCCATGTGCTGTAAGTACATATGAAATTTCAGAAAGATCCATCCAGTACTTCAGATATAGAGAACAAACTTCAAACAGAGCCCCACCCCTATGCCCCTACGGTGGTCATACCCACCAATTATACAAAATTGAGTCACCGTTACCCAAGGATGCTCCACACTAAATAAGGATAAAATCCCTTCATCCCGATAGTCGGAGAAGGTTTTCAAATGTTTTACCTCTATTTCTCCTATTGGGCCCGCCCTTCTGCCCCCCTCAGAAACCTACTACTAATACAAAATTGAGTCCCCTTGGCCCAAGGATGCTCCAGACTAAATTAGGATAAAATCCCTTAATCCCTATGGTGAAAGAAGGATTTTAAAGGTTTTACCTCTATTTTCCCTATTGGGCCCCGCCTCTCTGCCTACAGGGGGGTCAGACACACCGTTTATACAAAATTGGTTCCCCTTCTGGACAAAATCCTGTCATTCCTACCGAAGAAGAAGGATTTTGAAGATTTATCTCTATTTCCCCTATTGGGCCCCACCCCTCAGGTCCAAGGGGGGCCACAAACTGTTTATACAAAATTGGTTCCCCTTTACCCAAGGATGTTCCACACCAAATATGGACCAAATATATTAATCCTTTCATTCCTACAGAAGAATAAGGATTTTAAAGAATAATTTGCTATGTTTCCCCTATTGGGCCCTGCCTCTCAGGCCCCTGGGGGGGCCAGACCCTTGATTTATACAAAATTGGATCCCCTTTACCCAAGGATGCTTCAGACCAAATATGGACCAAATGCTTTCATGCCTACAGAAGAAGAAGAATTTTAAACAATAATTTGCTATGTTTCCCCTATTGGATCCTGCCGCTCAGGCCCCTGGGGGGCCAGATTCATGGGGTATACAAAATTGGTTCCCCTTCACCCAAAAATGCTTCAGACCAAATATGGAACAAATCCTTTCATTCCTACAGAAGAAGGATTTTAAAGAATTTGCTATATTTCCCCTATTGTGCCCCGCCCCTCAGCCCCCAGAGGGGCCAGACCAACCATTTATACAAACTTTGTTCCCCTTCCCCCAAGGATACTCCACACCAAATATGGACCAAATCCTTTCATTCCTACAGAAGAAGGATTTTAAAGAATAATTTGCTATGTTTCCCCTATTGGGCCCCGCCCATCAGGCCCCTGGGGAGCCAGACCCATGGTTTATACAAAGTTGAACCCCCTTCACCCAAGGATGCTTCTGACCAAATATGGACCAAATCCTTCCATTCCTACAGAAGAAGAAGGATTTTAAAGAATAATTTGCTATGTTTCCCCTATTGGGCGCCACCGCTCAGGCACCTCGGGGGTCAGCTCCACGGTGTATACAAAATTGGTTCCCCTTCACCCAAGAATGCTTCAGACCAAATATGGAACAAATTCTTTCATTCCTACAGAAGAAGAAAGATTTTAAAGAATTTGCTATATTTCCCCTATTTGGCGTCGCCCCTCAGGCACCTGGGGGGGCAGATCCACAGTTTATACAAACTTTGTTCCCCTTCCCCCAAGGATGCTTCTGACCAAATATGGACCAAATCCTTTCATTCCTACAGAAGAAGAAGGATTTTAAAGAATGATTTGCTTTATTTCCCCTATTGGGCCCTGATCCTCAGGCCCCTGGTGAGCCAGACCCATGGTTTATACAAAATTGGTTTCCCACTACCCAAGGATGCTTCACACCAAATATGGACCAAATCCTTTCATTCCTACAGAAGAAGAAGGATTTTAAAGAAGAATTTGCTATGTTTCCCCCATTGGGGACGCAGGACGACGGACGCTGCGGTATGGCATAAGCTCACCTTGGTCCTTCGGACCAGGTGAGCTAATAAAAATGATACTGACATACATTAGTGTTGCATTAATGTATATCAATTTCATAAATGCTGAAATTGTGTAAAATAAATGATCTATAAACGATTAAAAATTGACATTTTATAATAACATACATCCTTAAGTCTCCATGTCGCAGTAAGGTAACATACATCCTTAAGTCTCCATGTCAAAGTAATTAAAAAGGCAACATACATCCTTAAGTCTCCATGTCAC